AATATACTCTACAACAACATATATATATATATATATATATATATATATATGTATGAGAATATGTATATATATATATATGTGCCAAATATGGTATATGTCATAAATATGTCATGTGTACAATATAAGTATTCACGAAATATATTATATAATATAGTATATGGAATAAAATGTATATGCGATATTTTACATCAGCTATAAACCAGCTACTATACACCTGTACAATTCCTTTCGTATAGCTACTAACTACAGCCACTCTGCCTATATAATTATTCTAATATAACTACAAATACAGTTATGCCCATATGATTTTTATAATACAGCCGTGAAATACTATATATTGTAAATATTTCGTAAATGTATATGTATATTGTACACATGGCATATTTCATAAATATGCCTTATTCAGAAATATGGCATATTTTAGAAACATGGCATATTTTAGAAACATGGCATATTTTAGAAACATGGCAAATTTATATAAAAAATATGGCATATTTTTTATATATGGCATACTTTTAAATATGGCATATTTCAAAAAAAAATTATACCAATTTTTTTTATTTTTGCCGTATTTCTGAAATCAACACGCGTAATACGTATTTTTTCCTAATTTCATATCATATTTCATATTTCATATTTAACGTTTTCAGTGCATTTTTATTATTTTGAAATAATAATATGCCAATTTTTCGCCATATTTATTATCGAAAAATATGTGTTCCTCGGTCAGCTTATGTCACTTGTGAGTTGTGGGGCGTGGGCCCTGATGGGGAGTAGAGACTGCCCGACTGGGCAGGGGGTTGTTATTTACTTTGCAATATATTTAAAACAGTCATTTTAGAGAAAAAAAATACTAAAATACAATGATACAGATCTAGAAATCCTTTTTTTTTTCATAAATCCAATGGGATATTTTCATATTTATCAGTCTGTCTCCGGCTCACCGGCCTCCACAGACCCCCAATCCGGAGAGTGCTACCGGCCATGGGCGTGGCGCCGTCATACATATTTAGACAAGTTTCTATATGCAGATGGATATCTATTTTTATTTTTATTCGTTTATTGTTTGTTTTTTTGTTTTTTAACTAATACAAACCAAAAAGTCACAAATCTTACGCCACTCTTTTCAGTGACTCAGACGCCAACTTTCCAAAACAAAACAAAACATATAAAAAATCATCATAAGTGGTTTGCTTATTTTGTTTTTATAAAAAGGGAAAAATATATTTTCATTGAAAACAGCATTTGTTTGTCAATCTATGAGTCAATTACTCCTCACTCTTAATATTATGATTTTTTGATTATTTTGTTTTAATAATTCCATCACTGGACAGAAAGGACCTATTTTTATACACTCGCTCTACTAGTAGTAGAGAGAGACTCCTATACTCCACAGTCAGATGGCGGTCACCATATGGCATATGCTCTGAAAAGTGAAAAGTGAAAAGTGGAAACTCGAAAGTTGAAACTCAAACTCGAAACTCAAACCCGAATTTCAAATTACAATATGTACATATGTACAATTCGAAAGGTTAATCACTAATCAGTGATGTTATAGCTCACAGCGTGCTAAATATCATTGGACGTTCACATACAGTACAACAGAGATCGTGACGTATTGCATACCTTTATTTGAAAGAAAACAATGCAAATACACGTCGAATATATCGGCATATATATAACATGCTTTGTAAATTGCTGGTAAAATCACAATCTTTATTTTTATAGTCTGAGGATATTTAGTCACAGCAGTAATATATTATCAAACAACTCTTGTTACGAAGTCTATTCGATATAGCAAACACTGGTTTATAAACTGACAACTGATCAGGTACATAGATAGCCAGCAATGACGCCATCTAATATCATAAGAGCAGGTTGCCTTCTTGCGGTCGCTGCGACAACCGTTTGTGCTCAAGAAGCCCCATTTTGTGATGCTGACTGCAATACAACACCACGCGTCTGCTACAACGCAACAGAATTGACTCGACAAGTTCAATTGGGGCTCTCAGGTTGGTGCAGACCTGTGTATATGCGTTATCAAATTTCATCTCGTAGCTTTGTAGTTTGTGACGGTGTATTACGTTTGAACGTAAGTAACTAACTGTTACAAAATAGTTATTAGGCCGTTTTTGTCCCTTTCATGTCTGGTAAACTTAAGATACTATTATTGTACACCTATCCACTATATTGGGCTGCAGTGCTCCTGGGGGCTATCGCGTGAAATACATTATATGCACAACGCACTTGTTTTCACCATCCAAGCGATTGTTTCGTTCGGCTAAAATACTCCACCCGCTACATACAGACATTTGGATACACCGGAGCATCACATTGGAAGATGTGCTAGAACTTAATCCACCAAGAGATTTAAATATAAGAGCTTGCAATACCGTCGAGGTCAACTGTTCCCCCAATGGTGCCTTTAAGATCGGGTGGGTGTATGGTTATGGTATTTTACAATCCAGAGTATTTAGGACAGGTCTAAAACAAGGTGTCTAATGAGCAGGCAATGCTAAGTATTTTTATGTTGCACATATTTTTCTTTGACCCTATCCACTGTGGAGAAGGTGCAAATTATCATAAAACAACACCTTTGCTTCTTCGACGCAATAGTGAAGGAGCCGAAGGTACGACAGGAGACAGTATTTTTATCGGAGGGTTCTCTATTGTGGGATGCAATGGTGGGGCTGTGAAGGCAAGGTCGTCGAATTCGATCACCCTGCAGGGACTCGCGATCACGGGACCAGCGTATGTGCAAGCTGAATTTTCTAATATTTCCTTTTATTTCTGTGCTCGTCCTGTGTTTTCCATGATAGTGACTGAAACATAATCAAAACTTGCAGAACAGAAATGTCAGAGCCAGCATCAGCCCTCAATTCCCCTACTGTACTGATAGACAGTTGTAGTTTCAAAGGGAACAGGCTCGATGCCAGTGTTCTTGAAATGGTAGGTCAAGTGCTGTGTACACTTACACACTTTTACCGCGCAGCTAGAATATCTATTCGTATTCAGATAGAATATCTATTCGCATTAAAGCATGACGGGGAAAGCCATATTATTTGACTGTCTGTATTGGTAGTCGCTTTCCTTTTTTACGGCAACTGCGATCACTGATCTGCTGAATCCTTGAACTTTCGCGTGGTCGCTCCTGATCATTTACAGTTCGAGAGAATCTGTATATCAGCAACTCAGCCATCAGATCGCATCGTACAATGCTGTCAATCCAGCTCAGCTCACGCTATCAAAGTTAATCTGTCTGTTTCTTTCTTTATCAGGGGGGCGGCGCACTCTATATCGATGCTACAAATGCGACCATCGTTCATTCCGAATTTCACAACAATTCAGCTAATTATGGTGGTGCTATTTTCAGCACGCAAGCCTTGGATGTTCAAAATTCCAATGTTACTTCAAATAATTGTTTAAAAGTAAGTTTGCATGTTTCGGTGATTCCTCCAACCTAAAAATTATGTATGACAAGTCCAAGAATTTTCTGGTAGTCCAGCAATACTTTTTTTTGGATTGTATATTGTACTCTATTACATTCCTGACTCGTTAAGCGATCTTTGCATAGGCGGGGTGCGGAATATATGCCATAGGACTGAGCGTGAGCAATTCTAGGTTTTCCGGGAACAACAACAAGGGACAACGTGAAGCAGATCCACAAACCATAGAAGAAGCTACCAGAGGAGGTGCTATATATTCCGAACTGGGTAGGTCCGCATCTTTTCAGTGACAATAACATTTTAGTGGACTTTCTCAATTAGAGGCAATTAATTCGAATGATTGCTACGTTGAACTCAACTTAATCTGCCTGGAATGCTAATACTCGATAGGGCTGATGGCGACAAATATTATTTGTGAAGATAACGTGGCATACATGGGAGGCTGCTGGTACACGAATAGTGTAACTGAACAGGTGTGAGTTTTATACTTCAGCAACATGTCCACGACGTGATTAGCGCAGCATGTATAACCCATGTACTTAGTTGATAAGGGTTTATTGCTTGCAATCGAGCAAAAAAAGAGTTTATGCATAAGGTGTTTTGCAAATAAGGTGGTATGTTTGACAATTGCGTGCTGTGTACCGTTTTTCCTAAACGAGAAGCTTTGTGAAGCGCAAGAGACATTACACAGAGTCCATACTCAAGAGTGTGCAGAATCTAACCAAATCTAATGCACATGACAACAGGTCAGCCTCACAGATTCAAATTTTCTTCGAAACTTGGCCCACGATTCTACCGAAGGCTCAGGGCTTGGTGGAGGCGGAAGGTCAGTATCGAGCATGCGTATTGAAAGGTGTACATTCGACAGTAATCAGGCGAGTTCTGCTTCCATTTTCCAGGCTGATGGTATAGTGGACATTATCGGTATGTTTTCTTCGATAGGATATCTTCAATTTTTGAAATGAGCGAGTGTGTTCCCATAGCTGTCCCATTGTCTCAAAATAGTAGCAGTCTAGGTAGACTTCAGATAATCTGGAGCGTGTATCCAACCAACTCGGACATTATTTCCGTGATGCAAGATTTGAAAAATGGAGGAATGAAGAACTCTCAATGTTTTTGAATTTCATGTACTCTTTCCTCTACCATCAGATTCGGATTTTCGTCATAATATCGGAGTTTCAGCGAGTAGTACACTCTTGTACACAGGGCCAGTCACTGTGACCAATTCCAATTTCCACAACAATAGTGCCTTCAACTCTGGTGGAGGTGCTATCAATAGCGAAGCTGCTGAGAACTTTGTCCAGGACTCGAATTTCACTATGAACATTGCTGGAGGGGGTGGTGGAGCGATCAGTGCTCGTGGAGCCGTGATATTGATCAGATCCCGTTTCATTGCGAATAGGGCAAATGGAGGGCAATCCGAACAAGGGTTTGGTGGTGCCGTCTTTGCGGATACACTTGTGGCGGGCGAAACACTATATTTCGGGCATAACACAGCTGGACTTGACGGGGGAGCAATAGTGTGCCGAGGAGATATTAATATATCCGGTAATATTGATTTTCTTTGTAGCTTAGATAGTCAAAGTGAGGTTCCGGTGCACAAGTGTGGCTCCTTTAACAAGCATACTTTTTCCCCAAGCGAGTGACACTTCTACAACAGTCTACTTCCCTGCCTTGACATGCGGTACTTTCGCTTTCTGTTTTTTGTTTTTTCATTTAGGTGCGCAGTTTGAATTCAACTCGGCCACAGAAAACGGCGGAGCAATATCTGCATTTTATCAGGTGGCCTTAGCAAGTAAGTGGTTTTCAAATGGTTCGAATATCTTTTTGTCCCTTTCTAGGTGTTGCTCTTCAATTCAGCAGCCTTTTATATTGCCAGAATATACTCATTGCTGATGATACCTCATATTGATCAATCCAGGCTCAAGCTTTAACGGGAATACAGCTACCGGCAGTGGTGGGGCGCTTTTTCTAAACGACGTCATTATGGCCAACGAAGTAAACTTTACAAATAACGACGCTGCCGCGAATGGAGGTGCGATATACAGCAGCGGAATTTTTCCTAGTTACTTGGTTGCTGCTCGTCTTACAAACAATACAGCCAGTTTCGGGGGAGGAATCTACTCTGAGAATTCTAAAGTAGAATTGTATAACAGCATTGTACAAGACAATGAGGCATTTTCAAAGGGGGGCGCCTTATATGTGCAACAAGTAAGCAAGCAGTTCCATATCAATTTTACCAATATTTTTAAATTTGTCTGTTTTCTTTCAATTGGGAAACTTAATTGTCCAAACTTAATGCTGCTTACACTTCCGAAGTTTCTCGTGCAAGTGGCTGAAACGATCCTCTTTTCTATTTCACTTCTAGGTTGTCGTGAGGAACTCCGTCATCAAGTGCAACAAAGCTATCATTGGTGGGGCGCTCGCTATCACTGGGGTTGTAGTAGACCTTGATAATACTACACGGATCACAAGCAACAATGGCATCTGCTCCAACATCTACTTCCAAAGCGGTATGCAATCATGTTGTCATACTTCTCCTCGTTGGTTCTTTTGGTCGATCTGCAGTAAATCGCGCCATCTATCAAGTACTACATTGTGGTGTGTGTTTTTAATAAGAACCTGTTTTTACCAATATCTATTGCTACCAGGTCTGGCGTGTGAGGACGGTTTAGGTGATGATTACTGCGACTGTGCCTTCACGGCACAGATGCTCGCTGAGTGTGGTAACGGTGCGGTGTGCGACATCGAAGCAACAAAGCCGTTTACCACTGATGTGCCCTGTCTTTGTCCCGAAGGCTGGTTTTTGAACACCGCTGGTGGTTTGTGTATACCTTGCAGCACGTGTGGGACCTCAGCGAGCCAGGCAAGTACGCTCAATGATTTTATGTTTGGCACAAGTGATATATTCAAACATTTAACAATGCTTCTTACCAAAAACACATCAAAGCGGCTTGATCGTGGGGCAGCGAATATTCAACAGCATTATTAAAAGTTCTTCAATTACATATGAACAGCTAGGGTACCCCAGATATTTATAATGAGCTTTCGCCGAGCTATCGAACTAACTCTGCAAACCCTTCACGAGCAGGGTGAGTGCACTAGCAAGCAGGATGTTCAATGCGATTGCCCTACCGGTAAGACGGGGCCCAATTGCGAAGATGACTGTAAGTTGCCAGCCAATTGTCTCGAAGGCGATGCTAGTACCTGCCAGTTCGACGCTCTCGATTTGAGCTTCGGAGCCGTTTGCACGGCTTGTAACGAAGGGTTTTATCTGCAGGACAGTATCTGCATACCATGCACGACATGTCCTGGCAATGCTTTGCCTATCGAAGCATGTACTGTTACTGAAGATGCGGTAAGTCAGCGGTCGCTAACCCGTGTGATATGTTTCCGGTAGTTTAAACTGGGCTTTCGGGCATGGGAGAACGTACAATGATACTGATGAGTCTTCACACGGGGAATACACCAGAAAATATCGATTATTCTCTGCAGGACTATCTATCATTCTCTGCAATATTAAAACAACATCGTTTAACACTGCTCGAATTCCATGTTTGATGTATAGGTGTGCGCGTGTGATGCAGGTAAATCAGGCTCAGCCTGTAACATAAACTGTGAAGTTCCAGTAGGTTGCTCGGGTCTAAATCTTAGCACAACCGTATGCCAATATAGCCTGGACTCGGGTACTAAAGGAATTGAATGCACCGGCTGTAGGTAAGTGTCATTTCGATAACCTGCACTGTGGGTATAGTGCGTGTTGTATTCATCTTGCAACTCACAAACCCTAACATTCTTCGACGGATGCTGTAAATCCTGACCATAATTCATAGTCGTTCATAGCAATTTCTGCTTATCTCGCTTATTAGGATCGCACTTTAAAATCATGTACATATATTGAATCTAAGTTAACCTTGATATGGTCGCAGCTCTGGCTTCTACCACCGACAAGACAACAAACAGTGTGCACAAATCACTGAGTGCAACTTCAATAACGAGTTTGAGATAACTTCATTCAATGAGACAGCCGACAGAGTTTGTCAGTCGGTTCAGACTTGTCACGCTGGTCTGGATGGGACTGGAACTTACACCTATTCGATGTTTACGAAAACCAAGGATACCGTGTGTCGATCATGCACTCAGAGCTCATCGTGCGTAGATGGAAAACTGGTATGGTCGCGTCACTGTGAAGCACTGACGCGTATCTACATCACAGAAAGATGACTAATCATTTGACTGGTAATTCTGAAGGTCCCGTGCATACTTCGTTTTGATTGGTTGGGTTCAACATTCCGCTATCGTGGTCTGAGGGCGATTTGAATGCCATATAACGAGGAATGCATCTATTTGACCGAAGTTTGTGAGGCGTGAATTGACCATTCCTTTCTTGTTATTATACGCACGTGTAACAGGTATCAGAGTGTACCGATGACTTCGACATAATCTGCGAGTCGTGTGCAGAAGATTATAGCGGAAATGCGTGCGGATATGTTAATGTGGCATTCCAGACCCAAATGTCGGCGCAGGGTGTGCTCAATCAGACCGAAATACTTTTGAATTCGTGGTCCAGCGGAAGGTGAGTGGTCTTGATATCATGCCTGATGATATGCGATGTATTACTGCAGTATACCCAAATAGTGTTATACAGCTTTTGTCCTTGTACTGAAATGAGTGGCCCTGGAATCATGCCTGATGAATTGTGATGTATTGCCGTAGTATAATCCAATAAGTGTTGTACAGCTTGTCCTGGTACTAACTTTTCTCTTGCTACCCGTACCACAGTGACATAGAAATACACGTGGCCGAGAACCGTCGCCGCGCCGAAGATGGTGTCGTGACACTCAACTTTACACGCTCGTCTGCCGATGTTTTGGAGTACGCTATGCAGTCAACGAACAACCGAGCTTCTCTTGCCGCAACAACCGAATCCACTGCTCTTCGGATCGCGAACGAGGAACCAGTGGATTTGGATACGAAGTACGTACCCTAGCCTTATCTGCCTTTGATGTAGCAGTCCAAGAAGATTGTACCAACCGCACATTGTTGATACGATACCAGGAGTGAATGCGATTATCCGGACTAACCCATTTTAATATTGTCTTTGCGTTACCCCATGGCAGCGATGACAGCCTCTCGGCCGGAGCGATAATCGGCATTGTAGCCTGCGTGTTACTTGTGCTGTGCTTTGTTGCGGGGCTCATCGCGTTCTGTATGTACCGCAAAAGACAGCGCCAGGCCAAGAAAGCAAGAATCCATCCCCTGTTCAATCTTCCGGCCAATCTCCTGAAACGTAAGTTGAAATGCAATACAGCACGAGGGCGTATATGCTTCACTTTCAAAAATGTCGCAATGCCCACACACAGCTGCTGCTGCCCATTTTTCTTCCACACTTGTACCCATGTATAGCTGATGACGGCCTTAGATCCGAGGACACCATATTTCCACAGTTACAATGTTGAACTATAATAAGCTTCGCACATCGATCTCAACTCGTGTGTGCAATCTGTACAGGAATCAACGATGCGGATGCTATGGTAGTGCGACAGAAGGCGCGAGAAAGTGGCGAAGACATCGACCCGAAGCGACTCAAAGTGGTGCAGAAGCTGGGTGGTGGAAACTTTGGAGAGGTGTTCTTTGCAATGCTCAAGGATAGTCACGGTCGAGAATCCCCTGTGGCTGTTAAACAATTAAATGACCGCCAATCCGAAGAGGCTAAGGATGTATTTTTCGAAGAAGCGGTATGTACAGTCGCATGGGTCGAGTGGGAGACGCTGTATAAGAAATCAGTCAATTGGCGTACGATCTCTCTTTTAGATACGAAGCCGGATGCCTTCTTGTCCATATACTGATTTGCTGTTAAAAATCTTCATGTCCAGAACTTGATGAAAAGCATCAATCATGCGAATGTGTTGGATTGTATCGGAATCAGCAAAGGGCCACCAGGAGCTATCATTATGGACATCATGGTGCTCGGTGATCTCCATACTTATCTGAGTTCCCAGTAAGAATACATTCTAGTCATTCCTCCTACCGTGCACTCTGTCTATGATTGCTCAACATAATCTCAGCGTTCTGTATAGCAATCCAGTCACTTGTTCAATTTGGTGTATGCTTCAATATGTTGGCGCGTCGCTGTCAAATTGGCTACGTATTCTCCTGACTGTATTTTCATGGCCAGTTTCTAACTACAAGATCATCTCAAACCTTAGGTTCGATCGAGAGGAGCCTGTCACGATTGCGGAGAAGTACCATTTGTCATATCAAATCGCCAGCGGAATGAACTATCTGCAGAGCCAGGGGATCGTGCACAGAGACCTGGCCACCAGAAATTGCATGTTGTCACTAGCAGGACCCGTAAGTTGGATGTGTCATTCTCTTTCAAGTTTTGCATGCACTCCTTTCCTACCCTATTGCAAATGTGATTGGGTGTGATATGTGTTTGTAATACCGTGCTCAGAGGGTTTTCGAGTTTTGCCTGCACTCCTATTATATTGCAAATGTGATCGGGTGTGATATGTGCCTGTAATACCGTTGCTCTAGATGTTTGAGTATTTCTAGTACATGCTCACGACTGGATATGCTGTTGTCCCTATGTACTCACACTGTACTTGTTTTTTTGGATTGAATCTCACCTACAGAATACCCTCGGCTACCCCACATTGAAAGTTGCGGACTTCGGGCTGTCGCGAGTGATCGACGCTGACACCAGCGACTATGTAATGGAATCCAAAACCAGTCTACCCTTTCGTTGGTTGTCTCCTCGCGCTATGCTGGAGGTATGTATAGTACGTGAGATGAGTGCGACTTCCCATATACCTTCAAAATCGTTTGGTCGGGGGCCGGGGAAGTGTTCGGTGCCCTCGTGGCTACTGTCACAGAATGCAGTTTCTGAGACCTGTTCCAACTGATTCGATATATATGATACTACCAAGCGCACTCGATCTATCATTGTAACATCCCAATTGCAATACATTGGATACTAATCTATTCGCATTATATTTGCGTAGGGCCGCTTTTCATCGGCATCGGATGTCTGGTCTTACGGTGTGACACTGTGGGAGCTCTTCAGCAATGCCGAAGAGATACCATACAAAGGTGTCAACATGTTTGCAATCTTATCCAAACTGCAAGCCGGCGATCGGCTGGAGAGGCCCGACCAGTGCCCAAAGGTGAGCGGATGGGTTTTGCATAACTTTGTGCACATGGGAAAAATACAGTGAATTGCGGGCACATATTGACACGACGGGGGCAAAAGGTTTCATACTTATGATTGAGAGACGTGCTAATATAATTCATTGGAAACTTGTGAATTTTGAATAAGAGATGTACTACAACTCATTGGTGTCTAACTACATGTTATGTTGTCTGCACATGGAATAGGATGCGTACGATCTTATGAGTGCCTGCTGGAAGATCAAGCCCGAAAACAGACCAGAATTCGATACACTGGAACGCGACTTCGCCTACTTGTTTGTGCCACAATGCAGCGTGCCGGTCATGGTGGAGGTATGTTTTGCAGCCTATGCCATGTTTAAGTTTTTCGTCTATGCCATGATTAGGCTTTGCTGCCTATGCTCATGTTTAGGTTTTTCGTCTATGCCATGATTAGATTTTGCTGCCTATGCTCATGTTTAGGTTTTTCGTCTATGCCATGATTAGATTTTGCTGCCTATGCTTATGTTAGGTATACTCCACCCTATCGCCCCATGTGTCGAGTTTGTCACGCGCAAGTGCTCGTTAGAATGGTTTGGCAGAGCTTCATTTCGCAATGTCCTCGTGAACATGAGGCGCACATGAACTGCACTTCACTAAATTTAGCTGTGTCAATACTGGCTGTGCTAAGTAGTCTTTTTAGACGAATCACAATCCCGTTTAGCAGCAACGAGTAACCGAATCCAAAAATATTAGTTTGAGACTTCTCCAATAACTCACTCGCTATCTATTGCAGACAAGCCCGGATGGCTCTATCGTCATCATCGAGGGTCGTGACAAGAGAAAGTTCATGGATACGGGCAGGCTCGTAGCCGAGGGCAGAGGTAAAGTAACTGTCTGAACCCCTATTGTTAAACTTATTTATTGACCACTGGTATCGAGGTGGTTTTTCTGCTGTGTCAATACCATGGAGCAGAATTTTTCTAGCTTGTACCTGTCGCAGCAGCTTAACCGATCACTAAACTTTTTTTCTTCTCTCAGTAATGGGATACGATGAGGAACCAGAGGTCCCTGTTTACGATGATGTTAATTTCAAATCGGACGAATCAACTAAGAAGGTATGAGTGCCATTTGGATTAATTTGCCGGTTTGAGAGACAAAGTAACAGAGTAAACCGGTTCATATATTGAGTTATTACTGTTGTTGCCCCACCACTATATGACATACTACTGAGTTGAGTGCAATAACTTGCACCTCTATATATGTCATACTACTGAGTTGAGTACAATCACTTGCAAACTTCTTACTCGCATCTAAGCAAAGTTCTGAAAGCTCAGTTGTCTATTTCGATCTCTAAATCCGGATTTTAATTGCAACTAAATACCTCAATGTGACACACAGTTAAACGGCCAGAACAGCCATGGTCTGGCAAAGGGTTACGAAAATGTTCATGGCGCGGACGCCAAAAACAAAGCCGACGAGCTGTACGACGATGTACACGGCGCCAATCTTCCGTCGATGGCAAGAGATTACTCTAACATGCCACCCTCGAGAGGCTCGCTGATGCCTGACGAGCCTGAGAAGTTGTACAATTGGAGTGGTGCGAAATTGGGTGATACGGCCGTGAGCAGTCCACAACGAAACTTGCCGATTGACAGTCTAGCACGAATGCTCAAGGATGGAGACGAGGCGCACCTGGTTTAAGAATAGCACAACTAAATAAGTAGCATGTAGGCATATTAGTGGTCAGAGGTTGGGAACACGTAGACTCGACTGTCTGAAGCAGACTTAAATTACTCAAATATCAATTAGTATCAATAATCAATATCAATCAATCCGGTAAATCAGATCGAACACAGACAGCACTTTCCAATTGCATAATAAAATGGAGAAAAATACATATCACAACATCCACTACATGAGACTTGCAGATTCAATTTCCCGCGTATGGTATCACAGTTGGCGAAAATTAACACGACACGACTAGAATTGACATATGAAAGTGGAATTTGATACTAATCAACGGAACAATTTGTTGACTGGGTCATGAGGCCCATGCACCGAGTAGTACGGGCTTCTCTATAGATGCTCTCTAACAAATTATCGAGTGCGAATCAGACAGATTCGCACCCACAAGATAACGATATATGGATGTTTTTAATTGCTACGCGTTGTGTTGTAGTGTGGTGTCTAGACATCTGGCAGCGCCCCTCCTTCTTCATTCCCCAATTCATAAAACTACTACTCGATTCCAAAATCTTCATGAGAGACTCGTGCCGATTGGCGTTGCAGGAGATGCCGCATTGCACAATTCCTCTAAGCTCTGGGCCTTTCACGTATTTAGAAGGGGCCAACGAACCGTGAATTCCATCTGACAAAAGCAGTACCTGCTAGTCCCAGAGCACACTTTCCCTCGCACCCGTGTTATGCATATAAGTGCGGAACCGTTCTAGGCGAAGCCCTCACCATGACCTGAACCTTATTTTCCTTTTTGGGACCAGTAATGCTACGACCAATGCCTTCGGCTCCCTTCCCGGTGCACCTGCTGGCCTGATCGACACGTTTATCTGCTTTCTCCTTGCGCGTATGTCTGTCTGAGCTTGTACGCCTCGTGGGTGGTTGGACAGTGGCAGATACGCACCTCACTATCACCCGTTTTTGCTCTTGTGCTATTTTCTCTATCAACCCCGATGCCATTGTTCCGGAAAAATCCACGTTCGACAGTAAACCCGTGCTACCGAGCGCTGCCCTGTCTACCGTCCGATATTCTGCTGATGTATTGTACGAGAAGTCCCGATCCCGCATTTCTTGGCCGGCTGCTTTTCTACTCGTCTCCCCGCTACTCCCAGTACTGACTGTCCCTTTCAGTGTGTGAGGGGAGTGGGAGTGGAGTCTGAGGCTGACAAAGGACGAAAGAATTTTCGGACTGGTTGTTGTGCTTCTGCACTTACGCATGTCGATTTCATCTTTCGACTTGCTCACGCTACTCGGCCGTGAACGGTAAGGACTGTGGCCCTCGCCATCGCTGGCACAAGCGTGCGTCGGTGTATCAATTCTGATCTCGGATCCAGGAAATCGCTCAGTACTTCTCTTGCCCTCCATAACCCCTCCTATACAGCAGCTGCTAGCGTCATTCAACCCGTCATTCATTCGCTTCAGACTGTATCCTCGAGACAACGGGTGGGGCCTAGCTGCATATCCGCCATGACTAACTCTCCTGATAGAACAATCCCCGGTGCTAGTGGCCGAAGCATTTGCTGTGCCAAGACCACCGCGCGCGTCTCGCTCCCCACCACTCCTACCACCACGGCCCGTGTCTAAATCCCCAGAGATGTCTTCTTGCAACTTACTCGCAGACCTAGCTGCACTGCTAAGGAGAACCATAGGACTGCTCGTCTTCCGATGCACACCCCTATTTGCTTCGATCGAGTTCGGCCTACCGCCTGAATGGGTACGCGTACAGGAGATTTTGTCGCTGCCAGGTCTGTAGTCTACATATCCATCACTGGCAACGGCAGCTAAATGCTCAACCGTGCCGGAGTGTTTGACTAAATGGCTAGCCGTGCGTTGTGTATTTCTACCTGCGGACGTTTCATTCGTACCTGAACTACCAATACTAATCCCTCGAGCTACATATTGATAACTCTTGCGCCTAGGGTCCTTATCCGTCATGTGAATATTATCTTCAGACGTTTGAACGGCACCATTCCTCGGCTGTTCCATCAGAAAAACTGGGTACTCTCCACTCTCGGACGAGAGACACTGGGCAGAGTGTCTCGCCACGTGGTCGTATTCCCTGACAGAGCTCGAGCTGAGAGCGAAATCAACCATGGCAACACCAGACCGGATACTGTTCAGGTCCTCTTCTACATACGCGCTATCTACGCGAGTGCTCAGGCTATCCGCTTGGTCGCCTCTCGGCTTATCATCCTGCACACAGTGTTGCTTAGTAAGCGCTGGCGTGTCCGCGAGAATCTGCTGGTTCTCACATCCACGACCGCGCCCTAAAAAATCACAGCTCTCATCAGTGTTATGGCCTTCCGAGGGGGCCAAGCTCCTGTCATTCTCCATGCTTGCCTCGGCTTGTTTATTCTGTGCTTCTTCGGTCATTCGATGAAAGTCTTCGTATGTGGGTGGTTTATAAGACGCTTGTGTATGACTACTACTGACTGCCTCCATGGAGTTCGCATCACTGTTCGTGGTCGATCGATCGCCATAGTAGGTCTCTTTCTCTCTGGGGATATGTTGTAGAGCCGCGATGCGAGCGTTTTCGCTTTGAATTGCTGCCCTTTGTTGCAATGCAAGAGCTTGAGCAGCGCTGCCTTGATGCGAGTAGTGGTTGTTGTTGTTGTTGTTGTTGTTGTTGTTGTTGTTGAGTGTGAATTCATACTCCGGAGGATCTGCCAATTCGTTCATATTGGATTCCTCTGTTGCATGTCGTTGCAAGCAAGAAAGAAACAACTATTAGATGAGTTTCGTTCGCTTTGGCAGATTTCGCTGTGCTATCAGTGTAGGCGAGGTACCAGACTAGCTTCATAGAAATCCTATTCAAAATTTGTGTTTCTTTCATATCGTAGTTTAGGCCCATCGACCAGAAACGACAATAAAAAAATTAAGAAACGACCGAAGCACGCACGACCACGACCCACTTTCAGCGAGAAACAAATGCAAGTGCCGGGTGGTGTATACCTGTATACGTGGGCGGCACACTAGCTACTTGCGCGTGCTTGAGAATTTTAGTTAGACACATCAAAAAAGGAACCAGTGCGCTGGGTGGGTCAAATGTGAGACTGAATATCGCCCGCTCCGGGACTCCATCTTCCAGTTCTAGGAATCCTTTTAATTTGTTTCTGCGACCGAACCAATCCTGTGTTTTGGCTGTACGCAGAAATCTGGCCGGCGAGCAGTAGATGATAATAATAGATATGAGCCGCGTACGACTAATGCGGAGTATTCTACATTTAGAGATTATCAACTTGATGAGATATACGTATAAGAAATTGGAGTGCGACAGTAGCGACATGGAAAGTCATGACATAAATTTCGAATATAGAGCAAAAGATCTTCAAATAGGTATCTTCCTATCCGGAATGCCTACTACTACTGATGTTTACCTCCGAGAAACGCGACATTCTAAGATTCGATCGCAAAATTGTAAATATAGTCCCATACTTGATTTTCTGCCGGAATCAAGAAAATAGTTCAAGTGAACTTCAAAAGCGCGTAATGCATTGACCACTCTCAGCATAAAAGCCTACCTATTAAGCTGGAAGACGAAGTTCCTAAACTGCGATGCCTTAACAGTATTGACGAATACAACTCTTCGATTTGTCACGATTATTCCGCCACGACCTATCTGCGTATATTTTGCAGTTTTGATCTTCAGTCTCACGTTTCCATGACTGTGTGTGAAGCGACAAAGTCAAAGATGAAAACCATGGCATTGTATGCCCTGAAGCGCATTCGTTCAACCACAACTTAATCAATATATAATCATCAGGAACTTTGATCAAGAAAACAAATTGTTGATATGCACCTGAATGTAATTACTACAAGGTATGTATGATAGCTAATGAATCTAACGAGAAATCCAAAAGTATATCTATATATTAATATATATATATTTATGTATACATATATACATATATACG